GAATTACGGGCAGAATTTCGATTTTTTCACTCCTGATTCAGAAAAAAGTCTACTTTCTTAGGAACGACAAAAAGTAAAGTGCCAGTAACTGTTTTTGTAACCTGTGGTTCCCGCCATTCGACTCAGCTCATCGAGCTTCACAGTGTGAGGTAAGTTTTGTCACTGACGCCAACACGATATATAGCGTGGTAGGTTACATGTGAATTTAGACTTACTGTAATTTTTTTTTGCAGAACTTTGGTTGACAACTCATTTTGCAGAGAACTGAACGGGCTATCCGTGTACTGGCTATTCAATGAAGTACCTGAAAAACTTCCGAAATGAACTTCAAGATCGTTAGGCTTTCTAGAAAACCCGTTTTTTTTTAACTTTGAGATCAATTTTCTTAGAGATAAAACATCAGCCAAAAGCAAATGTTCAGGATTTTGAAGTACTCACTATATACATTAACATTGGGTATGGGGACACTCTGTAGAATCTGCAATGGGACAGCGGAAGGGAGCGAAAGGTGGTGAAAATTCAAAACTAGTGGTCAGTGTTTGCTCTACTATTCAATTTAGAAAGCAGCTGAAGACCCGTGGTTTCCACTAGAGGGGTAAGAGATTTGGAATTCTAAATCACACATTAGTGTTAAGTTTTCATTTTGTCTTCATAGAGATATCTGAATGGGACAAACACCAAATATGTGTTTTTGTACAATTCTTAAAATACCAGAGAACTGGGTCAAAATCTTTTTGCTACAAAAGATGTTCATATTGGTGAGTGCAGTGTTTATAAAACCAGCCTGAACTTTTCATCGGATTTTTCAGAGATCGGCTCTTTGTAAAACCCTAATAAAAACATCTTTGAAGTTGTGAATCACATCATTGGAAAGAGCACATATGAAAACATATAAAAATGGTATTTAGACGCTTTCATATCACTTTTATGGCACATGTCCACGTGCCTAGTCAAAAAAACCACTGTGTATTATACATGAACGTTGCTTGGATTCATGCTAAACATGAAAAGCTACTCATTTTTAAATGTTTTTCACAGATTCTATGTGCGGCCGGATGATCCTGTTTTGAGAAAAAGAAGAGTCAGATAATATCGCTAGAAAAATTATCTGAGAAAGATCGAAATCCAAGGACTTTTCTAGTGCTGCTAGTCGAAGTGCATATTATCAATATCTCAAAATATTACGTGTGGAGTTTTTTGAGAGAACAGTTAGAAAATACCCTGGTTCACACCCAGATCTAGTATAAAGAAAAAAATGTTAGAGACTTACGAGGAAAGGTCCCCAACTGTCAACTCGCTTTTGAGCTCTAAGCTAGTGGACAATAGGTAATTAAACATGCTGAATCCGACTATGACAAGCATTTGGGCCGCTAGGCCTCCGGAGACCCGGTTTTTGAAAAACCAGTTTTCTAGGTCAAAAAATTTTTTTTTCCAAAAAATTTTCTGATCTGTCCAGATTGAAGTACATCACACATTCATTGAAAATAACTTTGCAGCAAAGGGGAAGTTTACATGACACCAGATTTCTTGATTTCAAAGTTTTCTGATCTCATTTTTACCGAAATATACAAAGAGATTTGACTTTCTCCTTTTTCAGCAAAACTACACCGTACGCATTGTGGGTTGAGCTGCAATATGCAGTTACCCATCCTTCTTGTATACTTACTATTCAGTTTGCAGAAAAAGCAATCTAAACATGAGGTCAGTGCAAGAAGCATTCAATCTTTACTATAGTGCCAAGTAAAATTATAATTATAATTGAAGGCTATATTGCAGATAAAATAAAGTCTACAATTGCGTTAATAACTACCTTGTGTGATGTGTGTGTATGTAAATGATTCGCATCGAAAACTTAGAAAATAGCATTAATATGTTTATGTTTACAATCAGAAAAATGCTGTCGATAAAGTTTACATTTTCAATAATTATTTTTTATTCAACAGTATAGTGGTAAAAGAGCAGAGTGTATAAGAAAAAATTTATGCATATGAAAAAAGTATCTTCAAAACCTTGTACGAGATGGCGACCAATCCTGAACCTGCAATGTATTATCCGTTAATGGCCGTGAACGAACATGTTGATCATCCAATGGACGAGTATGAGACTGACGATGACTTTTTTGTTTTTCGTCTACTTCAGGTACATTAGCCAATAGTCCGCTACGGGATGAATCTTTTGATATTAGAAAAGACATCTTGGTTACAGAAATTAAACAGAGATTGTTTCATTTACCTTTACGTGACGTACTGTTCCAGTTTGACAACAGGTTTGGTGATGTGTTGCCCTCTGCTTTAGATGAACGTCGTGTACTCGATAAAGATTCTGGTTCACTACTATGTGGCGAAAGCGACTGCATCCGATTCAATTGTCGTAACTGATTTTGAAAATTAACTAGCGAGTCAACCGCTTCATCTTGACTCTTAGCATGGATCGTAGCCTAATAAATAAATCATTGGATAAAAGACGTTTAACGTTTCTATTACTTACTCTTCTGCGCGCATATGGCATATGATGACTGAGTAAATCTTTCACATTCATTTTCTCAGTCGGTGGATTATCAATATAAATGTCATCCGGACTAATTGAAATGGGTAAACTATTAAAAAATTAAAGACTGAATTATTGTGGGCAATGAAAGAGATCGGAAGAAATGTTCTATTTCAAAAGGAAGACATCTTCTATCAACTAGACAAGTTATACTTGTGATGTTTTGCTCTCTTTATTTCAAATGTTTTTCTTACTTCATTGATGATGGTGGAATAACAACAATTGATGGATTTCGCGCATTTTTATCGGATTGCACTAGTACGTCATTGGCAGCTTTTCGAATTGCATTCGGTTGATCATGCATTTTAATCGCACTTTGCAAATCAATATTTCGAAATGTTTGCCATAATCGAATGTCTAATTTTTCTTGAGGTTGTTCACGTAATAACCATTTTTTAAAATAATTGTGATCAATTTTATGAAATCTGAACAACGATAGAAAGTAAACTAAGGAATCTATTTGTTTACCCACTATCTGTCTATCGCTTACTTATCTCGTAAAGAATTCGTTCCTGTTACGCCGGAGACAGATTCAAGACATGTCATGACATGATCCATCAGCTATAAGGAAAAAGAGAAATTATTAAGGTTAATTAGATACAATTCATTTTTACTCGATTCGTTAATGTTGCACTCATAGTTGGTTCTTCATTTTGTTTTTGACGAACATTTAACAGTTTGACTAGTCGTCCAAGAGTAGTGCCCTGTAAAAATGACAGATCTTTTACATCTCTAATATCTATATGCTTTTCCCATTAGTTACCTGGATAAAAACGGTGAAAAAGACGACAACTAAAAGTAAGATAAATTGATCAACTGTCTGTATCCGTTATTCTGTATAATCGAACCTATAGCAGCTGTAATAAATTCACGTTTTCGATTCGTGGTATTTTCATCCAAAACGAGAGCTAGTGCAAATGCCAATGCACCACGTAGGCCACCGTAGCTCATTATCAACATGTCTATACGAGTTAACGCCAGCAGACGCCATAAATTTGCAACATTTGCAAAAAAGGCAACACCTAGAAAGCACAGTTCAACGTTAAGGTCAATAAAATACTCTACTAATTCTACAAAGTTATATCCAGAGTAAAGGACCAGGCATGAGCGAGTCCGAGTTCGGACTGGAAGATTTTTTGATGGACTCGGACTCGCACTTGCGTTTTTGTTGAGTTAAATGTAGCTAAAAAAAACGAAGGAAATGCTGATGTACCGGAACTCACAGGAGGAATGACTAGTAATTCAACAAAAAGAAAACAACTGTTTCCGCATTTATCTAATCTTTCTTCATCAAAAAAAATGGAAGCTGAAATAACGACAATTCTGTTTCACAAGAAGTTGAAAATTTTATGCGGAAGACGGGCATGCAAAGTAGTCTTATTTTCGAAAAATCGAATATCTATCCAGGTCTCAGTAAATTAGCTAGAAAACTTTTGTATTTCGGCTACATCAACGCCTATTGAGCGTATTTTTTCTCAAGATTTTTTATTAGACGCGAAAGAGCACGTTTTACGAAAAACAATCTATATCAACTGGTGTTGTTAAAATATAGTAGAAATTTACTTTAGTAACTTTTCTGTTTCAACAAGATTGATATATTAAATGGCACAAAAAAACAAAGAAATAAACTACAATCATCAAAATAAAATCTAAAAGATTATCGGACTCGAAATAGACTCGGACTCGGCTTGAATTATTAAGGACTCGGACTCGCCCATGCCTGTAAAGGACACATTCAAGCAATAACTTTTTCTACAAAAGTCTTGAATAAACACATGTGTAAAAGCATTTTATCAATTTGATCACAAATTTTTATTCTGAACATATTATATTTTTTTCAGCTTTTTCAGTTTGCTTAACTGACGTGTACATATAAATATATATATTATTGGTATGAGAAAAAAAGAATCGATTTGTAGCAATGAAAATATACTAATCATTGGTCCTAAAGGAAAAATTCAGCATTTTTTTAGAAACATCACATCTCAGAACAAAGCGCTATTAAGATATTAAAGATTAGTTGTATGAGTCATGACGCATGCAAAAGTCAACCGAAAAAAATATTTCAAAGGCTTTTGATATTTCTTTCACTAGTCCTTAATTCTCTCTTTTCTTTATACGTAACTACATGGGTAAAGGAACTTACAGTCCTCTGTCACGATGAAAAGAAAGATAACGTCTGTTACTGCATATGTATCAATCCATCTGTCCTACACGCTTTTTACCAGGGATATTTGGTTAGAATGCGCGATTGATTTGATCTTCATTCGAAGCTATCAGATCTGCAAAAAACAGAGTTTCTCGATTTTTATGTAAATATTTCAACAAAATTACGATTTTCTAAGTGGAACATTTAAACAGGATTAGCACCGTATAGCTTCAGCACAGCATGCTTCAGTAGAATGCACAATATCTCCACTATGTCCAACAGATTTAAGCGAAATCAGAAATAGCTAAGTTTTGATGATTGACAAATGATGTGGCCATTTTTCTAATAGCAGGCAGATACCAGTACTGTTTGCTCGAAAATCCTTTTTTCATGACTAATTATTATTGCTTCGCCATCTCTGATGCTTTTCATTGAAAACTAAACGTTTACAGGAAAAAAGTCACTTTTTTCGAAAAATCTCTTGGTAGTTCAATGGAAAAAAATTTCGATAGACAGCGTTTCGTCGATTCATAACTTATTATTATGTTATATATGGTTCGATGCAACTCCATGGACTGTTCATATCTTTAGGGTGAAAAATAACTTTTTCTTCTAAGGTGCACGTAATTCAAAGAAAGAGCACTATTTCTTTTTCTCGACGAATCATACATGGTTGGGTATAGCTCGTCAGACTAAGTCGGAATATATATGTTTTGACCTTTGGAACTGGATCTGGGAGGAGAAAATGTTGAAAAACTGAAAGATTTACTTTAGCTCAAAAACCGAAAATATTACAACAAAACTGATTTTTCGAACTTTCTTCAAGGTTTATAGCTTTCCTCAATATAGATTAGTCAACTCAGTTTTTATCCTGATTCCGAATATGACAGTTTTATTGCATAAAAGTTGAGTTCTGAGGGAGAAAACTAAGAATTACGAGCAGAGATCTGATCTTTTCGTCTCAGATTTAGAAAAAATGAATTTTCTCAGCATGAAATTAAGATAGAAAAAAATGATGCTCAGAGTTTTTCCTGATGGTGTAACGATTCAAACGACCTTGGAAATATGGCTTCATCGGTTAAATAAAAAAGCTAGATAGGTTTACAATCGGACCAGTGTCCAGTTTCTCGATCTTCACTAACTTTTCAGTCCATTTTGTATACGAACGATATCGAATTCGAGTTTTCTTATTCAGTTTTTCATGCTGAATAAGAAGAGAAAAACCGGAAAACTATAAACCTTGAAGGAAGTTCGAAAAATCAGTTTTGTTGTAATATTGTCGGTTTTTGAGCTGAAGTAAATCTTTCAGTTTTTCAACATTTTCTCCTCCCAGATCCAGCTCCAAAGGTCAAAACATATATATTCCGACTCAGTCCGACGAGCTCCACCCAACCATGTATGATTCGTCGAGAAAAAGAAATAGTGCTCTTCCGTTGAATTATGTGCATCCTTTAGACAAACTCATGTGAAAGAGTTGCGTTTTTCACCAATAAGATGCTCTGATCATAACTAATATTTCTCATTATTGCTTTTAATTTCATCATTCGTTTATTCTAGAAAAAAATCGAATTTCTCCATATCTGACGATTTTTGGTCGATTTTCTGCCTTGATTTTTCCCATGTTCCTTAGACGAATAATAAAGTAGTACTTTTAGGAAAACATAGTTAATATTTCACTATATATTTTGCAGTAAGAAAAATTTACTTCTTACATTCACACTTTCATTTTTTTATCCAATATCTGACTGAATGCTTGCAGCAGACGAGTAACTGACTTACCAATAGCTCTGAAGAGTAAACAGGCAATAACTGTTACAATGACAAATCCCGTATTCCACGATTGTTCTTCAGACACAGTTGTTAAACCCATAAACATGAATATGATCGTTTCCATTATTGTACTAGACATTTTCAAAACATATTCAATTGTTGCCATTGATTTTTTTGTTATATTATATTCGATATACTGTTTCATCATCTAAAGATGTCATTGTACGAAGGAATTACCGTGAAAAGTGACAAATAAATATTAGAAAAATCCATATGAAATACTTACCATACCACAGACGGTGATTCTAATATAGAAGAAAAAGTGATTTTTATTGTGAGTAGAACGATATGGAACAGGCAAATTGTCTACATACGCTAATATTCCCGATAGACCTAACATTTCGGCTGTTAAATAAGCAATATAGGCGTAAACAAAGACAACCAAAGGTTCAAGGACAGGTGTACGTATAGTAAATTTTGTCGTAAAACACGCAATAAATCCAAATACTAGACCGATCAATGTACCACCAATTGTAACAACAAAAAACGAGAGAAATCCCAAAAAAAAATCCATTGGTACTAATTGTTTTTGACCAATTTTTAAAAAGTTTTCAAACATACGATACAAAACCTCAAAAAAACACAGAAAACGAACTAATACTCATGATTTAAGATTTTAATAACTTACGATAGACACAGCATCATTTAGCAATGATTCACCAAAAACGACTATGTACAATGTATCATTAACACGAATTTCAACAAAAGTAGCCAGAACAGCTATGGGATCAACAGCCGTTATGAAAGATGCGAATAATAAACATTCTAATAAGTTAAATGGTGTTCCACCAAATAAAGACGTGTGAGCAAAACCCCATAATGTTAAACCGATACACATTGTGTTGAATAACTTATTTAAAACAGCTAACAGTAGAATTGTACCAATATTATCAAAGAATGCCCTTTTTGGCATGAAGTAACCCGTTTCAAGAACAATTGGCGGTAATAAAAAGAGAAAAAATGTATCCGAATTCAAAATATAGATTCGTTTTTCCTGTTCAAGATGAGTGACAAATAATAGAATACCGACAATTAACCCTAATATTATTAGCATACAGTTTTCGGGAAATTTTTCTGTTAAACCAGGTGATAAATGAAAAACTAGAGAGAAAGAGAGAATACACATAATTATGCACAATTTTATGTTATAATGCGGATGTTAACATACCAATTTTTGCTAAAATTCCTAGGAGAATCCATAAACAAATTCCAAAAACATTTGATACATGAGAAAATGTAAGAGTAATAGGAAAATGTGGTATGGCAACAGTTGAATTTGTATTTGAAGACGTTGTGACAGGTGGTGAACTACTAACGATTCCGATCATTAAGTAAGATGAAATAACATATAGTAAAATTATACTTGTTTTAATCATACTTTCGTTATCAATAAATAAAATTTATTCTAGAACATATATAATTTCAAAAATTATGATAACATTTAATTGTAGAAAGTTTTGTCAAATAATTTATTTTATTGTTCAGAATTTAGATAATTGAAACTACTAAAACATTGAAACACGAAAATAAATCAAATATTCTCACCACTTGAGAATTAGCCTATCGTTTAGAATTATACTGAATAACAGAATGATTGATTAATAAGAATGTGAACTGTTTGTTTGTTGTCAAATAATATCTTATTTTTGAAAAGGAAAAAATAATTTTTTTTTTCCATTTTTTCACAGTAAGAATTGACTATCAATGTCATTTATTACTTATAGATCACAACTAAGCGAGTGTATATTTCATCTTAAGTTGTTTCTCTTAGAATACAGAAAGCGTTGGTAGACAGAATCATATTTTTTGATTATTTGACTGTAACTTACCTGTATGCAACAGATTTTTTATGTGTATACACTTTTATAATGAAATAGTGGAACATTTATATCAGTGCTAAAGACGTAGACTGTAGAATAATGATAACGAAAACAGCTATACTGTGTACATGAATATTATTTTCTGGTTCCAATATAATTCGCATGTTTAGTAACGGATAACGGATCTATATTGCATTTTAGAAGACTTTTTACAATATAGTTTATAGGGTGACTTTGAACGAAAAAGACATTAATTGATAATGATTTCAGAACATTTAAAACTAACGTTATTCAGCTGCTTTTTGAATATCAATGGATTTCTGTTTTTCTAGAATTTTAACTTTTTACTCTGTGAAATAAAAACAGATGATTAGTGGCGACTAATAAAGTGGATCAAACGATGAATTTCACTAACAGATAAGATATGAATCAAAGATCCGTAGTTTCTCAATTATTCTTTATGCTCAGTTGCGAGTTTGTATCGAATGCATGTATTCATTATCTTATTTAAACAAGAAAATGGCAGTTTATCAGCATAGACTTATGGAAACTAACCTACTAAAAAGCTAATAGATATCTGTACACGTAGACAAAAGCATATGACATTGACACTTTATCTTCTATTTAAACGCTATTCTATCCTATTTTTCTTGTCAAGAACCACGATTTGACAGCATCATGTAGAAAGGTGTTGTATGGTACACTCTCAAAAAACAAGTGCCCTACCAGCTAAAAAGCCCGGAAGCCTCTCATTTTTGTCAGACTTTATATGCTTCAATGTGCAAAGAAGTGAAGCAAAAAAATGTGTGCCATTAAGAAAAGTGCCCTACTGTGGACTATTTTAAGTGTCCCATTCATCGCCCGAGGGGCACTTACTTTTTCACAGTGTAGGTTCTGTTTTGTATCTACTATATTTTTGGTAAAAGTCATAACTTGGTTAAGATTATGTGAAGCCCGGGAACCTCTCATTTTTGTCAGAATTTATATGCTTCAATCACGACAGATTGGAAGTTTTTACATGGACTCATAGAGTCTATGAGTTTGAGCGGGCTTTTCAGAAATCCTACCACTCAAAACCCTTTTCTTTACGGTTAAACAGCTTCAACTTCAAGCTACATTTTCAGAACAAGTTCGAAAGGAAAAACCTTTAACGAGCCAAGAAATTCGATTTTTTTATGTTGACCCATCTAATTCAAACGTACAGGCAAAGAAGGATGGATTTAAAACGACGGAGTAGCGAAAACTGATAGAACATACTTCATAGTATAAAGTCATTAGAAATGATTATTTTCAGAACAGATTTAATTAAGTAAAAACAGTTTTGTTTCTAGAGCTATGAAATTTTCTGTTATTATTGACACCACCATTACCATCCGCATAACTCAATGTAAAATGTTGAGACTTTGACTATAAGCTAGTGACATATTGACCTACATTTGATATAAATTTCAAGTCAGACATCAACTAAATTCATCTGTCTGATGATATTTGATTCTCGCAGACAATTGCTCTCAAGCAGACTATAATAGCAGTAGTAGATTGCACCGCACATGTGAGAACATTTGGCTGAGTATCATATTATTTGACCAACAAGCAGTCAGCTTTGAATCAGAAACAAATAAAAATTATATGGAACGATCAGCTTTTATAGATACAATGTTGCAATAAGCTAAGGTATTTGAAAGTAGTCATGAGTATCAAAAAGCTCAGATGCAAAAATCTTCGCCGCTCATTTGGAGATTAATTCTACAGTACTTGTCAAAAGTACCGACCCCCCCTGTAACTCAAGAACCATGATAGCTAGAGACTTCTAATTTTGTGTGGA